CTGAAAGGGGTGGCATATTCCTGGTTTGAGATGTGGGAAGATTCCCGTGAGGAGGGGAGACCTTCAGCGAGATGGAATGAGTTCGCGGATGCCTTTATAGACTATTTCTTGCCTGCCGAGATTAAGGAAGACCCTGTTGTGGAGTTTGAGACCCTTAAACAGGGTAGTAGGAATGTGTGAGAGTATCACATGGAGTTCGTGCGCCTGTCGAAGTATGCTATTCATATGATGCCGACCATGGTGGCAAGAGTGCGTCAATTTGTGCAGGGCCTTAGCCCTTTGGTTATTAATGAGGCTGCCACAACTGCTCTAAATTCTGACATGAACTATGGAAGGATGGTGGCATTTTCCCAAGCTACAGAGGCTCGAAATTTAAAGCTCAGGATGGAAGAGGAAAGTAGTAGTAGGGCCCGATCAACGGGCAACTTTGGGGATTCGTTCGGAGGTAGGAGATCAAGTTTTTGAGGAGGATCATCAGGGCCGTCCCAGTCTTATTCTCAGTCTTCAGCTAGTGCCCCGCCATCAGGGCACGGTCAGCAGCAGGGGAGTTGCTTTAGGCCCGGTCAGGGCAGCAGGGGGTCCCACCATCAGGGACGACCAGGAGGGAGATTCCAGCAGCAACAAAGCGTCCCATGCCCTAAGTGTGGGAGGATACATTCAGGAGTCTGCTACCTGGACATGCCAGTATGTTACGGATGTGGAATGAGAGGTCATATTTGGAGGGAGTGTTGTGCATCCCGTCAAGGTGTAGGCAGGGGCACAACTCAGTCATCCAGTCCTACAGCTGCTACATCTTCAGCACCCCCTCCAGCTCTAGGTTCTCCAGCACCCACAGGGTGTGGTGCATAGAGCTCGGGAGGACCCAGCCAATTCTATGCTATGAGTGGTCGACAGAGTGCAGAGGCTTCCCCAGATGTCGTCACAGGTATATTGACTATTCAATCTTATGATGTGTATGCCCTTATTGATCCCGGTTCTTCTTTGTCCTATGTTACTCCTTATGTTGCTACGAGTTTCGAGATAGAACCGGAACAGCTTCATGAGTTGTTCTCTGTATCTACTCCGGTCGGTGAGTCTATTAAGGTTGCACGGGTTTATAGGGATTGTGTTGTCACGGTGCGTGGTCGGGATACCATGGCCGATCTTATTGAACTAGGGATGATTGATTTTGATGTAATAATGGGAATGGATTGGCTTTATTCATGTTTTGCCAAACTCGATTGCCGAGCAAGAATCATAAGGCTTGAGTTTCCTAACGAGCTAGCTGTTGAGTGGGAGGGGAATAATGTTATGCCAAAAGGTAGGTTTGTTTCTTACCTTAAGGACACAAAGATGATCAAGAAGGGGTATATTTACCATTTGGTCCGAGTTACGGACATCACACTACGGAGGTGCCTACCCTTGAATCTGTAACAATTGTGAATGAATTCCCCGATGTATTTCCGAATGAGCTCCCTGGAATTCCTCCAGACAGGGAGATTGATCTTGGGATTGATGTGATGCCGGGCACGCAACCTATATCCATTCCACCTTATAGAATGGCGCCGGCAGAATTAAAAAACTAAAGGAACAACGAAGGGATATTCTAGAGAAAGGTTTCATCCGACCGAGTGTGTCGCCTTGGGGCGCACCGATTCTCTTTGTCAGGAAGAAAGATGGATCGCTGTGGATGTGTATTGATTACCGGCAACTCAACAAAGTCACAATCAAAAACAAATACCTATTGCCTAGAATAGATAATTTGTTTGATCAATTACAAGGTGCTAAGTTCTTCTCCAAAATGGATTTGCGGTCCGAGTACCATCAATTGAAGGTAAGGGAGCAGGATATTCCGAAAACAGCTTTCAGAACCCGGTATGGGCACTTTGAATTTTTGGTAATGTCTTTCGGGCTAACAAATGCCCCGGCGGCTTTCATGGATCTTATGAATCGAGTCTTCGGGCCATTTCTTGACTCTTTTGTGATAGTATTCATTGACGACATCCTTGTATATTCACGAAGTCGAGAGGATCACGCTGATCACCTCAGGGCAATTCTACAGACTCTTCATCGCCACCACTTGTATGCAAAGTTCTCGAAATGTGAATTTTGGCTTGAATCTGTTACCTTCCTGGGTTGTGTCGTCTCTGTAGAAGGAATTAAGGTTGATCCTCAAAAGATTGCAGCGGTGAAGGATTGGCCTAGACCTACTACTCCAACAGAGATTCGCAGTTTCATGGGTTTGGCCTGGTATTATAGGAGGTTTGTGGAGCGGTTCTCCACTCTTGCCTCTCCATTGACTAAATTGACGCAGAAGGCGGTTAAGTTCCAGTGGTCCGATGCTTGTGAAAGGAGATTCCAGGAATTGAAATCAAGATTGACTTCGGCGTCGGTATTGACCCTGCCAGAGGGTACCAAGGGGTTTGTGGTGTATTGCGATTCTTCAAGGATCGGTCTTGGGTGTGTATTAATGCAACATGTTAAGGTTATAACATATGCTTCAAGGCAACTTAAGAATCATGAAAAGAACTATCATACTCATGACTTGGAGCTTGCAGCGGTGGTTTTTGCATTAAAAATTTGGCGTCATTATTTGTATGGAGTCCATATAGATGTATCCACGGACCACAAGAGTCTTCAATACATTTTCAAATAGAAGGAATTAAACTTAAGGCAGAGAAGGTGGCTTGAGTTGCTAAAAGATTTTGACATCGACATTTTGTATTATCCGAGGAAAGCTAATGTAGTGGCAGATGCTCTTAGTCAGAAATCTATGGGTAGTTTGGCTCACTTAGAGGCATGTCAAAGTCCCTTGGCCCGGGAGGTTCACCAGTTGGCCAGTTTGGGAGTTCGTCTTGCGGACTCTAATGAAGGAGGAGTGGTTGTGCGGAATAGGGAGGAATCATCTCTTGTGGCGGAGGTCAAGGAGAAGCAATACAATGATCCAGTGTTGGTGCAGCTGAAGGAAGGGATTCATAAACATAAGACTACGGCTTTTTCTCTTGGCATGGACGACGGTACATTACGGTACCAAGGACGACTATGTGTTCCACACGTAGATGGTCTTCGGAAAAGAATCATGACAGAAGCTCATACTACTAAATATTACGTGCACCCGGGTTCTACAAAAATGTATCATGACCTCAAGGAAGTTTTCTAGTGGAATAACATGAAGAGGGGTGTGGCGGACTTTGTGGCAAAATTTTCAAACTGTCAACAAGTGAAGGCCGAGCATCAAAGGCCCGATGGGTTAGCTCAGAGTATAGGAATTCCAATGTGGAAATGGGAAATGATCAACATAGATTTTGTGGTAGGGTTACCGCGCACTCCGCGTAAGTTTGACTCTATTTGGGTGATCGTGGACCGACTCACAAAATCAGCACACTTCTTACCAGTTAAATCCACCGACACTGCGGAACAATATGCTCAATTGTATATCAAGGAAATAGTCAGGCTTCATGGCACTCCGATTTCCATCATTTCCGATCGAGGGGCCCAATTCACAGCTAATTTCTGGAAGAAGTTTCAGTGAGGTTTGGGTACGCAGGTAAATATTAGCACGGATTTCCATCCACAGACTGATGGGCAAGCAGAGCGGACTATTCAGACGCTTGAGGACATGTTGCATGCGTGTGTGATTGACTTCAAGAGTAGCTGGGATGATCATTTGCCGCTCATAGAATTTACTTATAACAACAGTTTCCATGCCAGTATTCAGATGTCGCCGTATGAGGCCTTGTATGGTAGAAGATGTAGATCGCCGATTGGGTGGTTCGAGGTTGGAGAAGCTGAACTAATAGGACCAAGCCTTGTGCATCAGGCTACGGAAAAGGTTAAGATCATAAAAGAGCGGTTGAAAACTGCTCAGAGTCATCAAAAATCCTACTCGGATGTTCGTCGCAGAGACTTAGAGTTCAAAGAATATGATTGGGTGTTCTTGAAGGTATCTCCCATGAAGGGGATCATGCGGTTTGGAAAGTAAGGGAAATTAAGTCCGCGGTATGTTGGGCTGTATAAAATCATTCAAAGGATAGGTCAGGTGGCGTACAAGCTTGAACTACCACCTAAGATGTCATTAGTACACCCGGTATTCCATGTGTCCATGTTGAAGAAGGTAGTTGGAGATCCGTCCGCTATTGTGCCGGTTGAGACCATCGAGGTTAGTGAAGAGTTGTCATATGAAGAAATTCCGATTGCTATTCTTGATAGGCAGGTCCGAAAGTTGAGAAACAAAGAAACTGCATCCGTGAAGGTGTTATGGCGAAACCAACAAGTCGAAGAAGCTACTTGGGAAGCCAAGAGTGAAATGAAAGAAAAGTACCTTCATTTGTTTGAATAGCCATGTAATAGTTCTATGAAGTTGTTTCCCCTAATGTTTGTATTGCTTGTTTGGCTAATATAAAGACACTCCTTTCTAGTGTCCCCCATGAGGCTTCGGTTGGTGTTATTTTGCATTCTGTTGTGTCATTTAATTCTATATATGTTGCTACGGTGTGTTTCGGGGGCTCTCTGGCAGGTGGATAGGCCTAATTACAAAGGAAACTCTGGCAAAATTTTCAGAAAATTAGGAAGTTAGGCAAATTTGTGGCGGATGGTATGTGGCATAACAGAAACTGTGTTAAGTAAACCTTGATCCTCATTCGAGGACGAATGATCTTAAGTGGGGGAGGATGCAAGGAGCCTTAAAAAAAAATATTTTAACCAAAAACTCGGGGTTTTGTGGTGCCAAGCTAGATTCCTGCGTTATTATAGTAGAATTTCTTCGGACTTTTTGGATTGAAAAGTACCCCACGGACTTAGAGGAAAATGTTCCGCAAAAGGACGCGTTTCTGCGGCCCATTATATAGCCGCATAATGGCCGCAGAGTGAAGCAGTACGTTGGCCAATTTGAGGTCAGCTTTGCGGTCGATTATGCGACCGCATAACCACTATGTAGACCGTATATCGATCGCATAATTCCTCTTGGCTTTTTGCGGAGGGAGTTATGCGGTGCATTATGCTCCCGCAGAACGAGTATGTGGACCGCATACTGGTCGCATACCTTGGCCGTAAGTTCAGGCCCCTGGGGGCCATTTCTGCGGTCACTTTGCGGACCGCATAACCGTTATGCGGTCGCATATACGACCACAGACCTGTGTTGGGCACCCATTTTCTTAATTTAAAACCCGACCCTTATTCCGTTAAAACACCCCCTTTAGTCTATTTTGAGCTCGTTTTCGGATACTATAGAGTGAGAAAGGGAGCCTTAGAGTGAGAAAGTAATCCTCATCAATTATTCTTCAATTCTTGCTTGAAATTTTTAATATTATCAAGGAAAGCAATCTAGGCCTCCATCCTAGAGGTAAGAATCTTTACCCTAGCCCTAAATTTTTGAAACTTATACTGAAAATGGGTAATTAATAAGATGGTCCATGGGTATGAGGGTTGTTTATCTTGCATGCATGTATGGTAAAAGAGCGTGGAAAAGTGAACTAGAACCATGAACGTTTTCCTAATTTTGGGTTCAAATTGTATATTGCTAAAATAGATTGTGGTTGCTAAGGGTTCTGGATAATTGTAGAGTCTAAAGAAGCGCAATTGAGGTATGTATGGCTGACTCTCTTCTTCTTAGAATCGAACTCTTGGTGTCCGAATAATTGGTGTAAGTTCTAACTTGATTATACAAGAATTGTTTACCTTAGTGTGTTTGATTGAAAGATTCACGTTCCCTAATTGTTTTAGATGGTTACCATGTCATCATGCTATTTGAGAACGTAATTATGATTTTCCAAGCTCCTTACCTTATGTGTGAAATGCCTTATGTGATGGTACTTATCGGCATGAATGATGATGTTATTTGAACAAATAAAAGAGGGAAAGACTTGAATTGT